AATTAACCTGTAGGACAGAGCATGGCCCTGCTCAGCTCATGATGCTGCGAGGGTGCTCTCTGAGCAGGGGCTGATGCGCTTGGCTTTCATTTCCTGGACCCCCACTTCAGGATCGACTACCCTGGAGCAAAAGTGCAATAGGACCCAACAGCTGCAGGAAAACGATGAGTGCAAAGAACGGCTGGTTACAGCAGAGACTGTCTTGGGAGCAGGTGAACAATATGGAGGTGTGATCGCACGCAGGAGTGGGGAGCTGCATCTTGCTACCCTGTAGAGAGGAGCCCCTCAGGAACATTCCTGGCTCCTGACTGCCAAAGGCCTGTTGAAAACCAAGCATCTTGTGAGTGCACCGTGGTGAGGAGAGTCTATGTTTCTGTGCCGGGCTCCAGTGGATCCTCGCCTTGTGTCGGCGTGAGCACGGGGAACAGCTGCCCAGGGCAGTTGTTGGGCAGTGCTGCTGCCCAGCAGGGTCCTCACAGAATAAGTGTGCCTGGGAATGCTCCAGCCTGCTCTGCAGGCAGGGTGCGCTGCCTTCCCCAAGAGCTGCAGCTGGACAGCCTGCAGTTCTGGGCCCTGCAGAGTCTCCAGAGTGTGGGGATGCAGTCCCTGTTGAGCAGGGAAGAGCTCACTGTCCTGGCAACATGGAGCACCATTTATCTGGCAGCTTGGGCCAGCTGTGCCAGATGTGGGAGGTGATGGGACCTGGGGCTGCCAATGTGTGGGCTGGCACCTGAGCCATTTTAGCCTTTCCAGGGGTTTACACGAGACCTTGTGCATTTGCTGCATGGCTTTATCACCTCTCAGGTGCTCAGAGGACTGCAGGCTTCTGTCCAGTTAATTTTTTTTAAGGGACTTTTGAAAGATGAACACCCCCTGCGGCTTGTGGTATCACTTTCATACTTCCTGACATGCTGGACATGTCTCCAGGATGGGGTGAGCAGAGGCCTACAGCAGTGAAGTCTCCTACCTGCAAAATATATTTGTGAGCTTGGTACATGGGGCTGGCAGTTCTGGGGGCTGTGGGACACCTGCAATCCAGATGACACCCCTCGCTCTTGTACCTGAAGCCCAGGCCTGCAGCTCCATGGGGACAGAGCAGGATCCCAGCTGCCACCCCACAGGGGCCAGGTGGGAGATGTTCAGGACAGGCTGAGCACCCACATACTTGCCTCCTGCCTGCAGCTGACAAGACTGCTCAGTGTGAAGCCTGTTGCCAGACGATCTCCTTGCAGGTTCAGCCCCTCGCTGGGGTGAGCCCTTGCCCAGGGGCAGGCTGCAGGAATGTTCTGGTGACCCCTTGCCGGTGTCACTGAGGGCTGCTGGGTGGAAGGGACGCAGCTCGTGGCCTTCCCCACGGTGCAGGTGCTGAGTGTTGGGACCAGCAGTGCTTTGATGCTGCTATTGCTCCCCAGGAATCTGTCTGGAAGATGCAGCAGTAGAGGAGAATGATGACTCAGGGAAGAGACTGACAGCTGGCATGTGGGGACAGACTCACAGCAGCCAGTTCTCTGGCTGCCTGTGCTGCTGGGCCAGTGATATTTGAGGAGCTCTTGAATGAATGAGTTTTTTAACCCCTTGCATTTAAAAGAATGGTGTCTTTTCCCAGTGATGCTTGCTGCCTGGTGGGATAGGGCCAGTGCGGGGTGTTGCCTGCTGTTCTCCACGGGGCTGGGCAGAAAGGGCAGGTCTGTGTGGGGCTGTGGCTCATTCTGCTCAGCCAGAGACTTGAGGTCTTCTGTGTGAAGGAAGTGGGTGCTGGTGAATGAAGGCACAGCATGGCTCTGGGGAAGCCTTTCTGGACAAATTTGTTGCTTCCAGGTGGGATGCTTGCATGTGTGGTGGTGGCAAGCAGCTGTATGGCAGTTTCTGCCTTAAACTACCTTCACGGCGCAGTGCTGGCTGATGGCATGTTGGGCTTCTGCAGCTGTTAGTTGCTACTTCCTATTTTACTAGCTGGTGGCTTGCGTCAGTGTCTGGGGCAGGTGGTAGGGAAGCAGTGCTTGGGACTCAGTCCATCACTGTTCCTGCCTCCCAGTGCTGGAAGCCCTGCCCTGCTGCCTTCTCTCTGTGCTATATTGACACAGGCACCTCATGTCTAGGTGAGGCCCTGGAGAGTCCTGCTGTCTGGTGCTGGCAGTGCCCCAGGGATGGGCGGGGAAGGGTGGCCTGCTCCTGCTCCTGTTATCTCCAGCTGGTGTTCCTGGCTGCCCCCCTGAGTGCCGCAGGCAGCCCACCCCCCTTCCTGGGGCAGCTGCTCTTGGCCATGCACAGGGGTGGCTCCACAGAGATGCTTTGTCCACTGTCTCCCACCCCTGCCTGCCACTTGGTCGCCAAGACAAGCAGCTCCGGTGGTAGCATGAGCCACAGCTCTAGCGTGGTGCACGGGGAGGGTTGCCTGTACATGCATGCTGAAGAAACAAACATTTAATGCTGCCTCTGCCTCTGCCTTCAACACTGGTGATGGGCCCTGGCACCACCAGAGCCTTGTGTTGGAAGACCATGACTGGGGGGATGATAAACCCCCAGCTGACCCTGAATTTGTTTGAGACTTGCTGCTCTAGCTGGATGTGCATAAATCTGTGGGGCCTGATGGGATTCATCTCAGGATACTGAAAGAGCTGGCTAATGGCATTACGAGACCTCTCTCCATTATTTTTCAATGGTTTGGGAAGTCTGGAGAGATCCCAGTCAACTGGAAGCTGGTAAATGTTGTCCTCATTTTTAAAAGGGTAAGAAGGAAGACGCTGGTAATTACAGGCCTGTCAGTCTCACTTCAGCGCCTGGTAAAACTATGGAGGAGGTTATTTTGGAAGTTACTGGAAAACACTTGAGAGACAACACAGTCATTAGTCATAGCTGACAGGAGTTCACGAGGCGGAAGTCCTGCTTAACCAACTTAATTTCCTTTTATGACAAGGTCACCCATCTTGTTGACCAAGGGAAGCCAGTACGTGTGGTGGTTTTAGATTTTAGCAAAGCTTTTGATACTGTCTCTCACAGTATCTGTCTGGATAAGGTGTTCAGCACACAACTAGACAAGTCCATAATATGCTGGGTGAGCAATTGGCTGATGGGTCAGGCTCAAAGAGGTATAGTAAATGGGGTTACGTCAGGCTGGCAGCCAGTCACCAGTGGGGTTCCTCAGGGCTGTTTTCGGGCCAATGCTCTTTAATGTTTTTATAAATGATCTGGACACAGGAATGGAATGTGCGTTAAGTTTGCTGACGATACTAGACTAGGAGGAGCTGTGGACTCCCTTGAGGGTAGAGAGGCCTTACAGGGAGATCTGGATAGACTAGAGGGCTGGGCAATCACCAACCACGTGAAATCTAACAAGAGCAAGAGCCGGATTCTCTGTCTGGGACACGGTAATCCCGGTTAGACATGCAAACTGGGGGATGAGAGGCTGGAGAGCAGCCACACAGAAAGCCATCTGGGGGTTTGGGTTGATGACAAGTTGAATATGAGCCAACAGAGAGCCCTGGCAGTCAGAAGGGCCAGCTGCGTCCTGGAGTGCACCAAGCAGAGCATCACTGACCAGTCAAGGGAGGAGACTGTCCCGCTCTGCACTGCACTGGTGCGGCCCCATCTCGAGCACCGTGTGGAGTTTTGGGCGCCTCACTATACGAAGGACACCAGACTGTGAGAGTGTGTCCGGAGGAGAGTGACCAAGATGGTGAAAGGCCTCCAGGGCAAGACTTCTGAGGAGCAGCTGAGGTCAGTTGGTTTGTTCAGCTTGGAGAAGGCTGAGGGGAGACCTCATCGCAGTCTCCAGCCTCCTCGAGGCGGGCAGAGGAGGGGGAGGTGCCGATCTCCCCTCTCTGGTGACCAGCAATAGGGCACGAGGGAATGGAATGAAGCTGCATCAGGGGAAATTCAGATTGGACATTAGGAAAAGGTTCTTCACTGAGAGGGTGGTTGGTCACTGCAACAGGCTCCCCAGGGAAATGGTGATGGCACCAAACCTGGCAGAGTTCAAGGAGCTGTTAATCATATGGCTTAGTTTTAAGTAGTCCTGCAACGAGCAGGGAGTTGGACTCAATGATTTTTATGGTTCCCTTCCAACTGAGATATTCTATGATTCTATGCTTCAGTTGTGGAAGATGACGGGGCTCCAAGGACTGATCTGGATCAGCTTCTGCAGGGCTTTTGGCCCCTTTTCCGGGCTGGAGCCACCTCCTAGCCTCCTTGGCGCTGGCTGTCTGCACCCTGCCACTGTCTGCCTTCCTGCTGCTCCTGTCGGGACGTGCGCTTGGCTCACTTGATGCCTCGAACTGCTTCTGGCTCTTGGCTCATGCTGCTGGATCAGGGCACTGAAAGGGGAGGAGGAGAGCGATAGACTGGGAGGTGAGGATGGGGCACTGGGAAGGTAGATGTGGAGCTGTGTGTGAGGTCTGGGAGCCGGAGCCATGTTCGGTGCCGCGCTCCTGCTCCCTGCTTGAAACTGCCTCCCAATGGCTGCTGTTGCGAGAGGGTTTCTGAGATTCTGTGAGCCTTGGTGTCGTCCCCCCTTCGCCACTCTGGGTACCCAGCCTGTGCTTGGCTGGGCCGGGGCATCCCCCTGTGGAGCCCTGCTGTGCCCGTGGTGCTCCAGGTCCTGCCCGAGAGCACCCTCAGCACCGCAGGCAGCTCAGGAAGGAGCAGCAGGCCCCTTGGCGCTAACAGTGAGCCTGCGAGGGATTTCTGTACCTTCGTCTTGAGCTCACTTCCTTCCCAGCGGGGAGCGTGCGGCCGGGGAGGGCGATGCCAAGCCACAGTTCCTTCTGAGAGTGGGAGGAGAGCCCGCGTCACCGCTCACAGGATGTTGCGTTGCTGCTTCCATTGCCTTGAGGTCATTTTTCCGAGCAGAGACTTCTTGTCTCCCCCGCCCTTGTGTGGGCACCCCCGAGGGGGGTGGGGTGGGCAGGCACCCAGCGTGGGGCCTGCAGCGCCCTGCCCGATGCTCTTGCCTCCTCCGCTGCAAGCAGGCTGGAAGCCTGTTGCTTCTGCCTGCTCGGCAGCGGTGCTGGAGCAGAGCCTTGCCGGCGATGTCAGGGAGGGGCTGGCTCACCCCCCGGCATCGCTGCCTGTTCGAACGGGTGTTCACGACAGGCGAACGCTGGATTGCATCAGGAGCAGGTTTCTGGGGGGCTGGTCCCAGCCCGTGTGCTGGAGAGAAGGGTGCTGGTTCCCCCCTCGCTCCTGGCTGCCGGCCCGACTGCCAGACAGTTTTCCCGCGAAGGACGGAGGTTGAACCACACGATCCTTGAGGTCCCTTTCAACCTGGTATTCCATGATTCTGTGACTGGTGTTTCCCATCACTTAGAGCTGCCTGTTGCTCCCGGAGCCGAGGAGACTGTGGCAGAGCCATCCCCCCCCCCCCGTGCCTCTCGCTGGACTCCCTGTAGCAGGGCTACCCTTCCCACCGTGCCCCAGCTTTGGCAGGCTCTGCTCCCCCGGCACACGGGGGGGCTCGGGGGGACCCCCAGCCTCCTCCTCCGTGGCTTCTCCCGGGGGAGCGCGGCTGATGCCGCCGGCCGCACCGTCCATCCCGCTGCGCTCGGCGGTGCCACTCGCAGCCGCCGCACTTCTGCGGGCCGAGCCGTGCCCGGTCCCCACCCCGCTGCCGGTTCCGACTTAGAATTTATTTATTTTATTTTTTTTTTTTTTTTTTTTTTTTTAAATCCGTGACCCGCAGGGTGGCAGGGCTCGGAGAAACAGGCAACGGTGGGGCTGGGGGGGGACGGGTTTCCCCGCATCGGCTGCGGGGCTCTTCCCGCTCGCCCGTAGCTTCCGCCGGGGCGGGGCGAGTGGGGTGTGGGGGGTGCGTGGGCGGGGGGACACACACAACTGTGGAGACGCGGGGGTAACGCTGCTCTGAGCGGTGCGTTCCAGCATCTGGCGGGAGGAGCCGGGCACCCCCCCGGCAGCGGCGGCGGCGGCAGCATCGGCGGCAGAAACGGCGGCAGAAGCGGCGGCAGAAGCGGCGGCGGCGGCGGCGGCGGCGGCAGTCGTCCCGGAGCGGCGCGGAGCGGAGCGGGGCGAGAGCTCAGCCGGAGCGAACCGCCGGTGAGTCGCGGCGGGCGCTGCCGCCGGGCCTGGCGCAACCGGTGCCGCGCTTGCATCAGCCGCCGCCCGCACGTGGAGCCGCGGTCCCGCCGTCCCCGGGGCAGCGCCCACGGAGCCAGGCGGGCAGCTCCCCGGGGGGCTGGGGAGGAGGACGAGGAATGGGGGGGGGGGATTGAACCTGACGGCCCCGGCACCTGCTCCGGGATGCGGCGGGGACCGGGATGCGGCGGGAGCTGTCGCCCCACGCGGGGCTTCTCCTGCGCGCCTTCCAGCCCCGGGCGTGACAGCGTGGCTTCCTGCGAGACGCTTCTCCCGGCCGTGGGCTGAGCCCACCTGCCCCAGCAGCTTCCCCGAACGGGGCTGCGGAGGCTCCGGGTGCTTAACGCCTTCCTTCCCCCGGGCAGCGGGGCCCGCGTGGGGTGGGGTGGGGTGGGGTGGGGGGGCAGGCTGTCCCCCATCTTGCTGCTTGGTGTACTCGCGCCCTTTTTTCTTTGCGCTGCTCGGGGATTAAGGGCTGAGCACGTTTCTGCTGCCAGCCCCCCCCATGCTTGCGGTCTGTAGGGCTGGCGTCGGGCATCGAAAATCCTCAGAGCAATCCAGCAGCGCTGGGGAAGACGGCCAGAGCTGCCTGGATGGACAGTGACTGGGGAGGGGGGCAGCGCTGGGGCACTTGTTGTTCCCTTGAAACCCGTTCCAGAGGCTGCCCGGGGCTGGGCCGGCTCCTTGGGCCAAGGCCGAACGTGGAACGTGCCAGCTCAAGGTGGAAGTTTCTCCAGAAGTGGGCTGGTTTGGTGGTTATGGGGAAGCAGCTGCGCTGGTGGCTGCCACCGCAGCCCTGGTAATCCCTCTCGGCGGAAACGGGTCACAAAGTTGTCCTCATGCGTACCGACACTGCTGCATGCAGCGTGGCATCGGTGCTGCCCCGTGCGCCTGGCTGGAGCATGTTTTGTTTCCCAATGAAGGGAGCAGCTGGTGGGGGGAAGGCGCTGGTGGGCGGGTGCTGGTCACGGGGCGCCAGCCACAGCCGTGGGCACTGGGAGCTGCTTTCCTTCTGACTCCTCTCACCCTGGGCAGGCTGACTGCTCCACGGGGTGCTTGTCTCCCGGAGCTTTTTGGGGATGGGCGGCTGCTGTGAGCAAGGGGAGTGGGGGTGTCGCACGTTTAGGGCAACTGCAGCCTGCGCGGGCTGCTCAGCAAGTGCCATCAGCACGCAAGGGATGTGTGCGGGGGGCTCGCACTGTATGTCTGGCCACGCACCCCCGCCGAGGGTGTAGTGAAGATGCTGGGAGCAAAGCAGAAGTGGCTGCGTCCCATGGACCAGCCCAGCCTGCCAAATCCTCTGCTGGAGGAAAGCTTTGTCTCCCTGCCATCGCTGCTGCACATGCCCACGCGCCAGGCCGGCGGGATGCACCAGCAGTCAAGTTTGGGCTGAGGGATCTCCGGGCTGCCAAATCAGTGGAGACTTGCTGGGAGACAGTGAGCAAGCTCTGGGACATGCCCAGGGGCCCTGCGGTGGAGACCACACAGGCCTGGTGCAGTGAGCCTATTTCCCACCATGGACTTGCCGGATTCATCCCGGGCTCTCTCCCAGTGCAGGGGCTGTGCAGGGTGGGTATGTGCAGCTCCACGGCGCCGTGGAGGGAGCCGCCACGGCTTGTGCCCCACCAGCGTGGCGGGGGCTTGGTGCCGATACGTCAGCGGGGGGCAGGCACAGCTCCTCTGGGCATCACTGCCTGCCCTGCTCCCTGCAGCCTGGGTCCTGCTGCCGGCAGGGCATGGAGCTTCATGCTCCTGTGGTCTCTTCCCTTGCAGGGGTCTTGAGCAGCTGAGTACCACCCACGGGAGGACGAGATGTTTGGGGGAAAAATGACCAGCGTGGGGAAGAAGCTGATCCGCCGGCGCGTGGTGGATCTGAGCTCTGAGGACACACGTTTTGCTCGCTGCCTCTCCACGCTGGACCTCATAGCCCTGGGAGTGGGCAGCACGCTCGGGGCTGGCGTGTACGTGCTGGCCGGGGAGGTGGCCAAGGAGATGGCTGGTCCTTCCATCGTCCTCTGCTTCCTGGTGGCTGCTCTCTCATCGGTACTGGCTGGACTCTGCTATGCAGAGTTTGGGGCCCGCGTCCCCAAGACTGGCTCTGCCTACCTCTACAGCTACGTCACCGTTGGTGAGATCTGGGCTTTTACAACCGGCTGGAACCTCATCCTCTCATACGTGATAGGTACGGGGCCGGGCGGGGTGCTAGCATGTGCTCCTTCCAGCACCGCACTAGCAGCGTGGGGGGCTGCTGGGGGCAGGCTATGGGGTGGGATCAGCAGGGAGGTGAGTGCCGGGGTGGGGGATGGCCGGTGCCGCTCTGCCCTGGGCTTGGGCTGATGCACAGATTTGCCATCGACCAGGCACAGCCAGCGTGGCTCGAGCCTGGAGCGCAGCATTCGACAACATCATTGGCAACCACATCTCCACCTTCTTCATGAACAAGACCACAGTGCACCTGCCGGGGGTGCTGGCCGAGCGCCCGGACTTCTTCGCTGTGATCCTGATCGGGCTGCTCACTGGTGAGTGCATAGGAGAGGCTTCCATGGCACAGCGGGTGGTGGCACGGGAGCCTGGCGGTCCCCCACTCACCCTCTCCATCCCTGCAGCGCTGCTGGCCTTCGGCGTCAGTGAATCTGCCCTTGTGAACAAGATCTTCACTGCGGTGAACCTCTTGGTGCTGGGCTTTGTCATCATTGCCGGCTTTGTGAAGGGAGACATCAAGAACTGGCAGCTCTCGGAGGAGGACTACATCAACCGCTCGCACCTGGACCCGCGGGAAGACAGCGGGTGAGGAGAGCAACTGTGCCAGGCACAGCGCTGGCACCAGCCCCGCCGTCCGCGCACCCCATGGCAGCTGCTCTCCTCCCTCCTTTCCAGGAAAAAAGCCTTTGGCTCCGGCGGGTTTTTCCCCTTTGGACTGGAAGGGATCCTGACCGGCGCTGCCACCTGTTTCTACGCTTTTGTGGGCTTTGACTGCATCGCCACCACAGGTACGGCCCTGGGCGAGGGCGCTGCGGGCATTTCACCAGCTCAGCCGGCTGGCCCCCCCCAGGGAGGATGCTCCGCGGCGTGGGGAACAGCCCATCCCACCGCTCCTGGGAGGTTTCCCCGCACCACGGCAGCTCTGTCCCCAGCTGAGTCACAAAAGGGCTCACAGCCTGCCCTCCCCCAGGAAAAGGGGCCCCCCGCACCTGCGCAGGCAGCTCCCAGGTCAGTGGGGAGCCCTTCCACTGCTGAATCCAGGCTGCAACACTGCTGGGAATTGCTACTGCCTCCCGGTTATTTTCCAGCCTCAGGCAACATTTATCTAAATGACTGAGTTCCCGCAGAACCACCGTTCAACGCAGGGAGCCCTCTTAATTTCCTCTCATTCCTCCAGGAATCTACTTAGAGGGTGGCTGGTACAGGCTGTTCTGCCTGTGCCTCCCCGCTCCCAGGGGCTGCCCGGCAGCCACCTCCTTCCCTCCTACAGCGGCTGCCGAGCCCCTTGCCAGGGCGCGTGGTGCGGGGGGAGCGCGTGCTTTTGCAAAGGCCGGGGGGCAGAGGGCATGGTGGCTGTGTCGCTGTGCCCACGCGGACGGAGGGCCTGCGTTCAGCAGGCTCTGCTGGGAGCAGGATTTGCTGGGAGGGGCAGAGGGCTGGCATGGCTCGGGGGGGGGGTCGTGAGCCCAGCTGCCAGGCACCGCACACCTAGAAGCCAGGTCTGCAGCCACGCACCTCTGCTCTTGGCAGTGCCAAGGCCTCTGCCAGCACAGCAGCATGGCTAGGGACCCCTCCTCTCTTAACAGCCCCTCTCTTGCTGCTGCCCAGCCCCATGCTGCCGTGGAAAGTGGCTCATCCCCCGGGGCCAGCTGCCCCACGCCGTGCCGCGTAGCGGGGACGGACGCTGCCTCTTGTCTCCGCACAGGGGAGGAAGCCAGGAACCCACAGCGCTCGATCCCCATTGGCATCATTGTGTCCCTCCTCATCTGCTTCGTGGCTTATTTTGGGGTCTCTGCGGCCCTGACCCTCATGGTGCCCTACTTCCTCCTGAACAAGGAGAGCCCCCTGCCCGAAGCTTTCAAGGCCGTGGGCTGGGACACCGCCCGCTATGCTGTTGCTGTCGGCTCGCTCTGTGCCCTCTCCACCAGGTAGGACTGTCTCCATTCCTGGCATCGCCTGGCACAGCATGGGGACCAGCACCACGCGTCCCGGCTGGGCTGGGGGTCTGCTGTCCTGCTGCCAGCACAGCGCCGGTCCCGTCCCTGCCTGGGTGGTGGATGTGGACAGCTTGCTTGGCAGGCCTTGAGACATCTCTCCCCACGGCAGCTTGCTGGGGTCCATGTTCCCCATGCCCCGTGTGATCTACGCCATGGCGGAGGATGGGCTGCTCTTCAAGTTCCTCTCCAGCATCAACAACCGCACGAAGACCCCTCTATCAGCCACCATCACCTCGGGGCTCCTGGCGGGTAAGGCTCCCAGCTGCTGCCTCGCACCGAGCCCCACGATGGTCCAGAGCAGAGCTCATACTGCATGTCATGTCCTTGTTGCAGCGCTGATGGCCTTCCTGCTTGACCTGAAGGACCTGGTGGACCTCATGTCGATTGGCACGCTGCTGGCCTACTCGCTGGTGGCAGTGTGTGTGCTCATCCTCAGGTGGGTGCCTCCCCTTGTGTGGCAGTGCCCAGGGTGGATGTGCCCTTGCATCAAGCCCAGGGCTTGTGGACAAAGCTTTTTCCTTGGGGGGATGTGGCCCGGGGAAGGATCAAGCCCCCACGGTGGAGGCTGCTCACAAGAGCCTGTGCGGAGTTTCTGGGCACGTCCACGGGGCAGCCACCACGGGGCTGCCGCCGGAGCAGCACATGGGGCTGGAGGAGTGGGAGGGCGTATGAGGGTGCTGCCCACTGTCCCCCTGGACTGGGAGGTTCCTCGGGCTCCGCTGCGACTTCTCCCATCTGCACAGGTACCAGTCGGGGCAGCTGAACTCCCCGAAGGCCGTGGAAATGCTGGAGCTGAACGGGAACGAGGAGGAGAGGGTGATCATGAACCTGACCATGGCTGCTGCCAGTGCCCAGCAGAAAGAGATGCTGTCCCTGACGACACTCTTCAACCCACCCATGGACACCCCCACCGCGCTCTCAGGCCGCATTGTCTACATTTGTGTATCCATCATCGGTGAGGGAGCGGGAGCTGGCAGCTGATGTCCCCTCTTGCCACTGGCCGGGGCATTTTTGATGTGTCTCCACAGAGCCGGGGAGGGATGGTGGGCACGCTGGGCAGCGTCTGTGTAGCACAGGCTGCCACCTGCCAGCCCGTGCTGGGCCCACTCTGCCCTGAGCGGGGTGCCAAGCGCAGGGCGTGGGTGGCATTTGGGGCACACGGGGGGGGCTGGTGGAGGATGTGGGTGCTAAGCCAGGCGTGTGCAGGTGGTTGCGGGAGCTCCCTGTGACAAACGTGGCCCAGGCTGGCCACCCCGCGAGGGTGGTCCCTAGCCCTCTGAGAGTGCTTGGGCTCACCCAGGGAGGTTTGATGTGTCCATCAGTGGCTTTATTGTGCGGGCAGAATGGGGCGGCTGGGCCGGGTCTGGGTGAGTATCAGAGCTGGGTTTGAGCTCAGCTGAGGGCAGGCTTCCCTCGGCTTGCCAGGCTGGTGAATTCCCCTGGCAAAGTGCTTTCCCAAGGCTTTGGGGTGGGTGTTGGAGACAGCATGTGCTGGACCCATACCTGACCGAGAGGAGTGGGTACCTCAGCCCAGCCACTGGTGTGGCTCAGGGTCCCAGGAAGGCCACGTGCCATGCAGCCCCCCAACCGCTTCCTCTCTTACAGCCACACTGATCACAGTCACCTGCATGGTCCTGACCCTCAAGGTGACCGCGCTGAAGGATGGCAGTGTTGGCTGGATTGTGTTCCTGGTGCTGCTCCTCGTGGCTCTACTCATTCCTACCATCATCGTTTGGAGGCAGCCGCAGAGCAATGCGCGACTGAACTTCAAAGTGAGTGCAGCCCCCAGCAGCTTGGCATCTGCACCCCTGCGGACCCCTTGCAGGGTCTGCCAGGGCTCACTGCTGGGCTGTCACCATCCAGGAAAGTTCAGGGCCCCGAGATGCAGCTCTCCAAGGCGCAGTCCCCAGCGTGGCAGTGCCCAGGTGCTCTCTGGGCTGTGGCAGGGGCGGCATCCCTCTGTCGCCAGGAGCATCCTTGAGCCCAGCTGGGTCCCTCAGGGCACAGCTGACACATCATCTCTTGTCCCTCGCAGGTACCTTTCCTCCCACTTCTGCCAATCTTCAGCATCTTCATTAACATCCTGCTGATGGTACAGCTGAGTGCCAGCACCTGGGCATGGTTTGCCATCTGGATGGCTGTGGGTACGTGTCCTGGGGAGGGGAGTGTGGTGCCCGCAGGGTCTCCCCTGGGGGTCTGTCACACTGGCAGCCTGGCGCTGTGCGTTTCATTGTGGAAACTGTCCCACAGGTTTTATGATTTACTTCGGCTACGGGATTCGGAACAGCGTGGAAGGGAAGAATGCGGAGGAGCCCAGTGCCACAGTAGAAAAGCCTTTATGCCACCCTGGACTAGACCTCAGCGCCAGGGCTGCTGCGGTCTGAGGGCCCAGGCACCAGCACTCCGTGGAGCTCTGCCAGTATTCCCGCTTGGGAACCAGATCATGATCCATAAAAAATTCATCCCCTCTCCCGCAGGGAGCTAGTCCCAGAGTCAGGACCATGGAGTCGGGTCGTGCGCTGCCCTTTCCCCTCGCAGAACAGAGGTCAAAGAGACAACTCCCTGGGCCAGGAGGGAGCGCCGGTGGCCTAGGGCTGGTCTCTGCCATCCCCCCAACCCTGCCGAGGGGCAGTGACACCGGCACGGCCCTGCTGCTGTGGAAGCTGCTGTCAGAAATGCTGCTTTCCCTGTGCGCAGGAGGCCCGCCTCCCCCCCCCCCCCCCCGCCCCCAATGATGCAGCTGTATTCATTCCGTCTGTCCGTGTGGCTGTGGTCACTACCTCCTCTCCGTGCTTTCCAAGCACTGGGCGTGTACGTGGCAGCTGTAGCTGGAGCCATGCACCGAGGCTTGGGGCAGCTCGTTCTGGTACTGCCAGCAGTCCGGTACTCCCCGTCAGCACGGGGCTCAGCTGGCCAAAACCTCTGTCTGGGATTTGCATCCCGCACTGAGCCCTGTGCTGCCTGGCCATGCCGTTCGGTGTGAGCATCTAACTCGGGTGTCCGTGAAGATGTCCACAGTGTAGCTGTACTACTGTCCAACCTCCTATACCTTTGTATAATTGGTGTTTTAATGTCAACTTTTATACCTATTAAACTCAATGGTTTTTAAGTGCTTGGCTCTGATGGTCCTGCTGCATCCTGTTAATGCCCTGCGGTCGCTGGCCCTTGGGCAGGACCCCATGGGAGTAGCCAGAAACTGTGGAGCAGAGCTCCAAGGCCAGCTCAGCCCAGCACTGCTGGTACCCGGGGGCAGGACAGGAGCCTGCCATGGCCCCATCCTGCAGTGGTGCTGTGTGGGAGCGTGTCACCACGTCCCAGGGCAGCGGCTGCAGTAAAGACCTTGGAACTATCTCCTGGAGGCACCAGCAATGGCCTGCAGAGGAATTGTGGCCAGGAGCTGGGCTGCATCCATGGGAGAAAATGGCAATTTCCCAGATTCTGGTCTGGTCTAAATCAGCCCTGACAAATTATTTTGCAAAATAATCTAATCTAGGGCAGATTGAACTCGCGTGGTTTTGGCATCTCTCCCTGTTTCCTGGCAGTGGAGCAGGGTCACTGCACGGTCAGCGGTGAGGGCCCCACACCACCGGCTCTGCTCGGCCCCTGGGCTGGAGCTGTGAGCCCTGCCCCAGGGCTGTGCCCGGGGTAAAAGGGGCTGCGGCACCTGCTCTGGGCTGGGCTGGGCACCGCCTGCCCCTCCGCCCCAGGTTGAGGTGCCCTGCCAGAGCCTCAGGCTCCAGCCCACAAACGCAGCTGACCCCTGGCACCGGCTCCTCCAGCTCTCCTGGTCACGCTGGTGCCTCAGTGTGCTGCGCCGGGTTCCATGCCCACGGCTATGCGTGGGTCTGCTTGTGCCTGCAGACGTGTTTGCGCCTGGCTCCAGGCCACCCCACTGAGAACCAGCATCCCATCCTGGGTGCCCACCCATGGAGCGGGGTGATGGAAGCCCCGAGCAGCTCCCACCGTGGCAGCCCGGCACAGGTAAGCGGCTGCCTGGCACTATCAGCCCGTGCCGGCGTGGTGCCATCCTGCCACAGGCGCAGGTGCTGGCGGGAGCACAGCAGCCCTGTCCGCACCAGCCCCACGGCGGGCACTGTGCCCTCCCTTGGCTGCCTGCCTGGGGCTGGGGGGGGGGCACCCCAGACCTGGGCGACCACTCTGAGGGGACCCTGCCTCCCTCTGCCCATTGCCTCCTTCCACTCTATCCGGGCTAGCAGAGCTGCCAGGGATGGCAGTGTATCCTCTGCCAGGCACTGCCTCTGCCCTTCCCAGGCCCTGCCAGCGTTCCTCTACATCTTGGTGCATCAGTTGCGGGGGGGTGAATAACACCCAGCTGGAGCCCCAGCATGTTTGTTGGCAGAAGGGAGCCGCCTGTGCTGCTCCCACCGCTTTAACCGCTGCCACGCCAGCTTGTGTGCAGCCTGCTGAGATGCTCCGATATCACCCCAGGGCTCCATGGTGAAGAGAGGGACTGGGAGGGAAGCACGTTCCTGGGTGAAGACTGTCGGGTGATGGGGGCTGCAGGGTGGGCTTTCCACCCCCGTGCCAGTCTGGAAGGGGCCATTTTCTGGTTTGAGAGGCTTGCCCCCCCCCCAGGTGCTGCACGCAGCTGCCTGCAGTTTGCCCCATCAGCCGGGGAACTTCCACCCAGAGTCTCAGCACAGGATGTGTTCCTGCCTGCTGCCCGGCCGTGGGCCTCCCGGGGGCAGCTCCAGCCCCAGCACAGGGGCAGGCAGAGCCCTGGGGGGAACCAAACAAGCCTGAAGCTGCTCCCCCGCTGCCTCTGCCACCGCGCTGGCGCTGGGCAGGCTGGAAACACGCATGGGCAGGCACACCAGTCCTGTTTCAGTGCGGTCTTGATGGCTGTGGCACTCACCCATAGCCAGGGCTTGGTGTGTGATCTCCCTGTTGCTGCCTGCCGTGGATTTAAAGGGGAGCTGGAGGGTTGCTGAGCTGCGGGCGACGCGTACCCTGGTGTGTGGAAGGTGCACGGAGCCGGTGGCTCTCAGCATCCCCCTCCCCAGCCTGGCTCCACGCTGTCCCCCGTGGCTTTTGTAACTGCACACAGTGCTGTGCTAGCTGCCTTTGGGGGACACGGGGCTTTCTGGGTTGTGGGGTTGGAGCAGCTCTCTGCACACCAGCTGCTTGCCGAGGAAGAGCCTCTGGGGGGGCTGCCAAGAGGAGCCCGAGTACTCAGGCTCGGGGCAGGATGGAGACAGAGGGCTATGTTGCTGAGCTGCTGGAGGGAGAGCTGGTTCTGCAGAGCCTGCCCGCTGCGCTGCTCCCCTGACAGAACAGGGGTAGCCCTGGCGCATGGAGATGTAGCAGCAGATTAAATTTTAAATTTGGTGCAATGATCCACTTGGGAGTTAAAATAGGCTGGCTTGTCCACATGGCTCTGTAACCCCAAATATTTCACCCTGGGGAGTTAATGCACTGCCTTCTCCCCTGTAGGACCCACGAGGAGTATCCTCACATACTTCCCCTGCAGGACCCACAAGCAGGTATCATCAGATCCTCTTCCCTGCAGATGACCGGCTGATGGAGCAGAGCTGGGGGGCTGCCGGGTGGGGCACATCCATCAGTGGGGCACAGGCCCTGGAATCCACCCTGGGGCAGATGGGGTTACTGGCTTGACAGGGAAGACTCATCAGCTCGTGATATTTCTGCAGCGGTTGCGTTGCAGGGCCTCACCATCCAGAAGAGCTCCAGGAGATCAAAGCTGGTGCCGGGTGAGATTCCTATCTCTCCTTACTCATCCAGCTCCAGGCAGGTCCCAACCCTTCTGCTTTTTGTGGTAACCTCTGAAGCATGCACAGCCCGGTATCTGGCACCAGGCAGCATGCATCCGATAATCCTCTCGGCCCTGAGCTGCAGCAGGTGGTCAGCTCTCTATTCATGCAAGCTTAATGCTCTCCTTGCTCTGCCTTTGCAGGTCTGGCACGATGACTTGCTGCCAGGTGGTTACTCCTCTCTCGCTCTCCTTTCTTCCCAGTGCTGCAGCTGGTGACCTGGTTCCCGCTCTCCTTCCCTGGTCCACGCTCCAACTAGCCAAAGGGCAGTTCTTGTCACAGCCTGTCCCAGAGCTAACAACACCTGAGCTGTGTGGGAGGACACCCTGGTCCCTCAGGACTTCCTCCTCTCTTACAAGACGGTGTACCCCGATGGGCTCACCACAGTGGAAGTGAGCACCTGTGTGAGTGGCATGGAGAGGAGATGGTGGAGGTGGTGTGTGCGATGCAGGCAGCAGATTTATGGCGCAGACAGGCGGTTTTCCACCGGTGGGAACTGCTTCCCGATTAACTACCCCTTCTCTGCCATCGTCAAGGTCTCCGTGGGCTGTGTGGGCATGCTGGTGTCCGAGCACCACGTCCTCACTGCTGCTCACTGCATTCCTATTAGCAAAGACTACATGAAGGGGGCCAAGAAGATCAAGGTGGGTTTCCTGATGCCAGTGCAGGGCATTGCCAATGGGACAGGGATGGGGAGGCTGGTGATGTGCTGGACCGAGGTGCAGCACATGCAGGTGCCCAGGGGCTGGATCCAGGACCCCAACCTGGCCAGCGTGGACTATGACTGCACTTTCTCAGAGCTGCACAGCCTGTGCACACTGGTGCCCACATGTGAGGCTGGTGGCAGCTCTGGCAGTGGAAGAGATGGCTGGGAAGAAGATTCTCTTCTTGGGGTCTGACAGCGACAGGCTGGGTGAGCTGGTCTACCGTTTCTGTGGGGTGGAGGACGGGACAGTCCACCTCATATACAAACACTGTGATGCCAGGCCTGGGATGTATGGCAAAGCGTGGGACCCTGTATGACACAAACTGGAAAGGAAGGTGATCAGGGTCTCCTCAGAGCACCAGTGGCTAGGGAGCACCACAACTGCAATGTTGCCGTTCGCCTGACCATACTGACAGTTTGCTCAGATTTGTTACTGGATCAAAGGGGACTCTAAAAGCTGTCACACAGAATGAGACCCGCAGCTTGTCTCTTCCCCTCCCCAGTGCAGATGGCTTTGAGTGTGCGAGAACGTGGCCAAGGAGCCCGAGGAGAAGCCACCTTTCCTGGCAAAACTGCTCTACTCTGTTCTGTTCTCTGCCATGGAGGAAGAGGGTCTCCACAGATCACAAGGGATCCAGCAGAAACTCACTGAAGTCCAAGTCCTGATTCCCCAGGAATCCTGAAGGGTGGTTTATGTCCCTTTGGTTGATGCTGGCATTAACTCAGCATCAGGGTTCTTTGCTGAAAAAGCTTGGCTGTCAGCCAGGGAAAGTGGCGTCTGCTTCCAGCATGTTAACTGCTCACGACGTGGAGAGGCAGCCACATGCTTGCTGCTAAGCTTTACCCCGTTTCTCTTGGGTCTCAACAGGCCTCTTGGTCTGTTGGCTGCACTGCTCGCCTAGGCACTGCCCCAGCAATGTGAGGACAAAGGGTTTTCTCTCCTAATAGGGCCTTGGTGTGCTGATGAAAGGTGTCTGAAAGGCAGCCCTGGAGCTTGAGTCTGCTGGGCACAGAGTGTGCCACAGCCAGGAGCCTGGCCAGGGCAGGAGAGTCTGCTCCAGGACCCTGGCAGCCACAGTGCCTGGGAAAGCTCTTGGCAAGGGCACCTCTTCTGACGGATGCAGCACGGTGCCACCTGGGTACCTACATGTGGCAGCACGGGCTGAGAACTGGGAACACCTACTGACTTGTAAACTTTCTCATCTCTCTTTGGTTCTGCCTGGGATTGCTGCAGACGGAAGGGATCCTGACATTTACTGCAGCTGTAGTATTTGAGATGGTTTATTTTAGGCAAATACATGTATTTGAATAAAAGTCAACAGAAATCTCTTTGCAAAGGTTATGTTGAAAGAGAAACTGTGCATAGATTGCTGGCCCTGGCTTGGGACTTGCTGAAGGAGACACTCTTCCTTCAGACTGAAGTGAGTGGGACAGGAAGATCTGTGTAGAGCTGAAATCACAGTATCTTTCAAAAATAGGGACTGATGCCTTCTGGAGTCATAAAACAGCCCAGGCACCTGACTGAACAGATTTCTGCATGTTCTGTCACATGCAGAACAGGCCATACCGGGCTCTTTCAGGAGCAAACTGAAAGCTTGCCTTATGTTTCCC